GCATCACAACAACATGCAGCATCACAACAACATGCAGCATCACAACAACATGCAGCATCACAACAACATGCAGCATCACAACAACATGCAGCATCACAACTACATGCAGCATCACAACAACATGCAGCATCACAACTACATGCAGCATCACAACAACATGCAGCATCACAACAACATGCAGCATCACAACTACATGCAGCATCACAACAACATGCAGCATCACAACAACATGCAGCATCACAACATGCAGCATCACAATATGCAGCATCACAACAACATGCAGCATCACAAGAACATGCAGCATCACAACAACATGCAGCATCACAACAACATGCAGCATCACAACATGCAGCATCACAATATGCAGCATCACAACATGCAGCATCACAATATGCAGCATCACAACAACATGCAGCATCACAATATGCAGCATCACAACAACATGCAGCATCACAACAACATGCAGCATCACAATATGCAGCATCACAACAACATGCAGCATCACAACAACATGCAGCATCACAACATGCAGCATCACAATATGCAGCATCACAACAACATGCAGCATCACAACAACATGCAGCATCACAATATGCAGCATCACAACAACATGCAGCATCACAATATGCAACATCACAGCAACATGCAGCATCACAACAACATGCAGCATCACAACATGCAGCATCACAACACGCAGCATCACAACAACATGCAGCATCACAACATGCAGCATCACAACAACATGCAGCATCACAACATGCAGCATCACAACATGCAGCATCACAACTACATGCAGCATTACAACAACATGCAGCATCACAACTACATGCAGCATCACAACTACATGCAGCATCACAACATGCAGCATCACAACTACATGCAGCATCACAACAACATGCAGCATCACAACATGCAGCATCACAACATGCAGCATCACAACAACATGCAGCATCATAACAGCATGCAGCATCAAAACAACATGCAGCATCACAACAACATGCAGCATCACAATATGCAGCATCACAACAACATGCAGCATCACAACAACATGCAGCATCACAACAACATGCAGCATCACAACAACATGCAGCATCATAACATGCAGCATCAAAACAACATGCAGCATCACAACAACATGCAGCATCATAACATGCAGCATCACAACAACATGCAGCATCACAACAGCATGCAGCATCACAACAACATGCAGCATCACAACAACATGCAGCATCACAACATGCAGCATCACAACAACATGCAGCATCACAACATGCAGCATCACAACAACATGCAGCATCACAACAACATGCAGCATCACAACATGCAGCATCACAACAACATGCAGCATCACAACAACATGCAGCATCACAACAACATGCAGCATCACAACAACATGCAGCATCACAACATGCAGCATCACAACAACATGCAGCATCATAACATGCAGCATCACAACAACATGCAGCATCACAACAACATGCAGCATCACAACAACATGCAGCATCACAACAACATGCAGCATCACAACTACATGCAGCATCACAACAACATGCAGCATCACAACTACATGCAGCATCACAACAACATGCAGCATCACAACTACATGCAGCATCACAACAACATGCAGCATCACAACAACATGCAGCATCACAACTACATGCAGCATCACAACAACATGCAGCATCACAACAACATGCAGCATCACAACATGCAGCATCACAACATGCAGCATCACAACAACATGCAGCATCACAACAACATGCAGCATCACAACAACATGCAGCATCACAACAACATGCAGCATCACAACAACATGCAGCATCACAACATGCAGCATCACAACAACATGCAGCATCACAATCTGCAGCATCACAACAACATGCAGCATCACAAGAACATGCAGCATCACAACATCATGCAGCATCACAACAACATGCAGCATCACAACAACATGCAGCATCACAACATGCAGCATCACAACATGCAGCATCACAATATGCAGCATCACAACAACATGCAGCATCACAATATGCAGCATCACAACAACATGCAGCATCACAACAACATGCAGCATCACAATATGCAGCATCACAACAACATGCAGCATCACAACAACATGCAGCATCACAACATGCAGCATCACAATATGCAGCATCACAACAACATGCAGCATCACAACAACATGCAGCATCACAATATGCAGCATCACAACAACATGCAGCATCACAATATGCAACATCACAGCAACATGCAGCATCACAACAACATGCAGCATCACAATATGCAGCATCACAACAACATGCAGCATCACAATATGCAGCATCACAACAACATGCAGCATCACAATATGCAGCATCACAACAACATGCAGCATCACAACAACATGCAGCATTACAACATGCAGCATCACAACTACATGCAGCATCACAACAACATGCAGCATCACAATATGCAGCATCACAACAACATGCAGCATCATAACATGCAGCATCACAACAACATGCAGCATCACAACAACATGCAGCATCACAACAACATGCAGCATCACAACAACATGCAGCATCACAACATGCAGCATCACAACAACATGCAGCATCACAACTACATGCAGCATCACAACATGCAGCATCACAACATGCAGCATCACAACAACATGCAGCATCACAATATGCAACATCACAGCAACATGCAGCATCACAACAACATGCAGCATCACAATATGCAGCATCACAACAACATGCAGCATCACAATATGCAGCATCACAATATGCAGCATCACAATATGCAGCATCACAACAACATGCAGCATTACAACATGCAGCATCAGATGCGGAATCCGTTGATATTTATGTTTATATTTATTTATTTAGCAGACGCTTTTATCCAAAGCAATGTACAATTTATAACCTATAGGGCGTGTTGTGATCTGTGGTTGTAACCGGAGAACCCGGAGGAAACCCACGCATGCGTGGGGAGAACACGCAACTCCTCGCAGAAAGGCTGCAGCCGAGTTTCGAACCTGCAACCTTCGTGCTGCGAGGCAACAGTGCTGACAACTGTGCCACCATGCATTTTATTTTGTTTACTTATTTTTATGTTTTTGCTCATTCCAAAATACAAGAATGTGTGCACACCCCATTCAGATACAACAGACTGATATGTCCAGGCATCCATATGTATTCCTTGCCTCTCCCAGCCTCTCTTCTTCCTCTTCCAGCCACATCTGGCTGGATCCATGTTTACATCACAAACCTTTTCAGCAGTTGTCTCCTTCTGGAATGAAGTGGAAAGAGGAACACCTGTGTAGACGTTCCTCTACACTGAGAATCAGCTGTGGCTGCTTAAACTGTATTATTGGATTTAAAATTTGATCCAATAAAGTATTTCTGTTGAATCTTACTGTCTTCTTCCGTTCAGCCTATGTTATTGTTCTGAACAGAAGTTTAACAGTTGTGAAAACGGTATGTAAGCACGTGCAAAAGGTCCTGTTGGTGCAGAGATTTCTGGCAGTTGTTGTGTCCGAGTGAGAAAAGAATTCAGGACATTTGAGATGTAGTCGCTGAATGCATTTTGGGCCAAATCAATGATAAATGATCCTCAGTTTGGCCCAGATAGACTTCTGGTGTGCTCGCTGTGTGAAGTTTTGCAACAGTGACCTGAGGATTGAGAAATGTGTCCTAGCGTCTGCAATAAACTAGAGAGTTCTGGGACTGTGTCCCAGAATGGAGCTTGGAGGGTTGATCTGGACTGGTTCTGGTCCAGATGCAGAAAAATCATCTAAGCATCAATTTATTGGATTTTAATAAACAAAAAAAAAAAGTTCAGATTTCTGTGTCGTTTAGTCAAACTTTTCAGTTTAGTTGTTTCTGATCAAAAGCTTATCAGAATAATAATGTTAACAACAATTATTATTCTTATAAAGATGCTTGTTGTTATTATTATATGTTTAAACGCAGAACGTAAATATTTTCTCCATAAACGATGTCTTAAACCAATCACAACAGGCTGAAACTGAACCATAGCACTAGAGCAGAGAGAGAGAGAGAGCGAGAGAGAGAGAGAGAGAGAGAGAGAGAGAGAGAGAGAGAGAGAGAGAGAGAGAACTGAAACTGAACCATAGCACTAGAGCAGAGAGAGAGAGAGAGCGAGAGAGAGAGAGAGAGAGAGAGAGAGAGAGAGAGAGAGAGAGAGAACTGAACCATAGCACTAGAGCAGAGAGAGAGAGAGCGAGAGAGAGAGAGAGAGAGAGAGAGAGAGAGAGAGAGAGAGAGAGAACTGAACCATAGCACTAGAGCAGAGAGAGAGAGAGAGAACTGAACCATAGCACTAGAGCAGAGAGAGAGAGAGAGAACTGAACCATAGCACTAGAGCAGAGAGAGAGAGAGAGAGAGAGAGAGAGAACTGAACCATAGCACTAGAGCAGAGAGAGAGAGAGCGAGAGAGAGAGAGAGAGAGAGAGAGAGAGAGAGAGAACTGAACCATAGCACTAGAGCAGAGAGAGAGAGAGAGAACTGAACCATAGCACTAGAGCAGAGAGAGAGAGAGCGAGAGAGAGAGAGAGAGAGAGAGAGAGAGAGAGAGAGAGAGAGAACTGAACCATAGCACTAGAGCAGAGAGAGAGAGAGAGAGAGAGAGAGAGAGAGAGAGAACTGAACCATAGCACTAGAGCAGAGAGAGAGAGAGAGAGAGAGAGAGAGAGAGAGAGAGAGAGAGAGAGAGAACTGAACCATAGCACTAGAGCAGAGAGAGAGAGAGAGAGAGAGAGAGAGAGAGAGAGAGAACTGAACCATAGCACTAGAGCAGAGAGAGAGAGAGAGAGAGAGAGAGAGAGAGAGAAGAGAGAGAGAGAGAGAGAGAGAGAGAGAGAGAGAGAGAGAGAGAGAGAGAGAGAGAGAGAGAGAGTGTGTGTGTGTGTGTGTGTGTGTGTGGTGTGTGTGTGTGTGTGTGTGTGTGTGTGTCCTCCCTCCCTCCTCTCCTCCAGTCCTCCTTCCTGTTTCCATCTACGTTTGGAGACCTTTTATTCGTCTCTTTACTGGTTCTCTCTCCACTGTGTCACACCATCCCTCTGGCCCTCCCATCGACTATAATCAGGAGTCCTTAAAGCTTCTTCAGTGTGTGTGTGTGTGTGTGTGTGTGTGTGTGTGTGTGTGTGTGTGTGTGTGTGTGTGTGTGTGTGTGTGTGTGTGTGTGTGTGTGTGTTTGGTTAATGAGGGGGGAGTGTGTGGAGGAGGGGATCCAGCCCCCCAACAGTTGGAGCATCATTCAGCCTTTTTCCTCCGAGAGGAACCTCAGGTGAGTCCGACTTTTGTTCTCAGGTTGACTCCAAACCGTTGAAGGGTTTTGCACACTTGGGATTCTCTGAAGGTAAACAAGTCGTAGTTTAACACGTTATAACTAGAAAACCCTTTAGGCTGTTGAAGTTATGATTAAAAATCATGAATTTATGTCAGTTTAAAAAACTTAGAATGTTGTTTTTCTGTTTGTACAAATTTGTTGTGCATTTGTTGAGCTCTGAAAGTTTTATGACACTGAAAAATACTATTTACAGAACATTAAGAATATCATAAGTACATAATTTGACAGAATCAGACTGAATTGAATTCAAGTATTGATGAGCTAACAGCTAGTCTGAGTACAGCAGAGATCAGATGGCTTTGAGTTGAACTCTGTGTGGTTACTTCAGCTGAAATTTTAAGGGTGAGGTTCACGGAGAAGCTGCTTGATACTTGTTCTTTTTGAAAAACTATCAGGTTTCACGTGAAAATAGTCCTCTAGATCTATTTCCTTCACTGGCTGCAGAAAGGACGTAGACGGGGAAACGCTCGGGTCGGAAAAAGCTAGTGTTTCTTAAGTCACGGGAAAAATTTACTCTGACAGACTCATCCATGTTTAACCGCCGGGAGAGAGCAGAGCACATCCAGCTAGTAGAAGCTAACCATTAGCGTTACAACTAGAGGCCTAACCGATGTATCGGGCCGATATATTACATTTTTTCTTTTTCGGTCATCGTCCAAAATAATTTTAAAAGGCGATTAAAAAAAATCTGGCACTTGTGTGGCCAACCGCTGCCACTAGATTGAATAAACACACTTTTTAAAAAATGTTTTGAGTTTGTTTTATCAATAAATCTTAAGAGATTTATTGGCTTAATGTAGATTGCACACAGTTAGCGTTCAGCTGTCTTTTACAGTCAATGTGCTGCTAAAACGTATTTATATCAGTCTTTATACACACCTCTGTCCTCTCTTGGCTACCCGGAGCTGGAGGCTAGGAGTGGGAGCTGGCCTTCTGGTTGGGCTCTGGGGTGGTGGGTTGCTTTGCTCGGTGGTGGATGGAGGTGCCTGCTCATCATCACCCCAGCAGAACGGGGCTACATCTGGTCCTGGGATGGTTGTGCAGCAACCTCTGTGCAGCAGTACAGGGACCAGAGTGAATAGGGTGTGTATGGGGAGCGTGAGTGGGGGTCTAGCATTCATTTGTGTAAGTCTCTGGCTGTATGTGGTGTGACTGTGTTTGTCAGGTGTGGTCTTGGACCCCTCCACTCTCCTGGGTCTATCTGTGCTGATACACATCTTCGCCCAGACAGGCCACGGGGGGGTGGGGGTGGGGGTGGGGGGGAATTATATATATATATATATATATATATATATATATATATATATATATATATATATATATATATATATATATATATATATATATATGTATATATATACATATATATATATATACATATATATATATATGTATATATATATATGTATATATATATATATATACATATATATATATATACATATATATATATATATATGAGTGTGTATATACATATATATATATATATGTATATACACACACACATATATATATATATATATATATATATATATATATATATATATATATATGTGTGTGTATATATATATATATATATATATATACACATATATATATATGTATATATATATATATATATATATATGAATATACATATATATATAAATATACATATATATATATATATATATATATACATATATATATATATATATATATATATATATATATATATATATATATATATATATATATATATATATACATATATCGACCTTAATAATCAGCTTTAGACATCAGCCATTTGCACCAAACTTTTTTAAAACTGGTATTGACCTTAAAAACCCACATCGGTCGGCCTCTAATTGCAACATGGTGGTAGACGTTCAGGCTTGTGTTATTTCTGGAGATGAAACATCAACACTACAAAGGTGTTGAACATGTGAAAAACAAGACACATTCTTAAATCCACGTGTCTATAACGCTAACTGCGGAACAACGCTAGCACAAACTACTGCTAATGCTAGCCTGAACTGCTAATGTCGTCGTTGGGCTAGCTAGAGCAAAAATAACAGAGACGAATGTCGGAGCACCATTCAACATCCAGATTATGCATGGCATCACACACACACACACACACACACACACACACACACACACACACACACACACACACACACACACACACACACACACACACACACGACTGGTGTTTTTATTGGTCGTAGGAGTGCATCAGGTTTAGTCTAGGAGAAATAACAATAGAAGTATGGAGGGTTGTCTTCGTGAAACTGCTAAACTGGGTCTCTTTGCATTGGTTAGTTCTCCATCTCATCGGCCCTTTTGCATCATGCCCTTCCTGTCTGATGGTCGATGGAGAGTTTTCTGCCTGCTTTTGCTCTGCGACACGCTAACAGGTGAGAGGGATTTCACCAGAGTGCCACTGAAGGCTGCAAGTTCAGGAAATCATTTTTATTTAGAGTATCAAACCGAAAAGTGTTCTGGGAAATCGACGAGCATTGAAGCAAAACATGAGATCGGCCTTCTGCTTCCAGTCAGCAGTGTTTTTTTTCTTGTTTATTACTTATTTTTCTCTTTTTTTCATTCAGAAAAACCCAAAATGAAAATCAAACAGTGTTTACAAACAAAAGAATGAAAACTCTTACATTTTCTGCACCGTTTACTAAATAAAATAATCTCCATATTCCTGCTCATCCAGCTCATCCAATCCCTTTGCAGACACCATCCTAAATTATGTTTGCATAAGTCCTCAATACCATAAGTCCTTATCATTTTACATAATTAATTATAAACAATTACTTTAGTCATGTCGATTATGAATCCTTACTTTGTTCTGGGAGACTAATTTAATGCCGTTCAGGTCAGGTGATTGACAGCAATTTCCTTTTCTGAATTTCTTATACTGAGCCAGGATCCTCTGGAGGTTTCTTCCTGTTAAAAGGGAGTTTTCCTCTCCACTGTCGCTGCATGCTTGCTTAGTATGAGGATTGCTGTAAATTCAATTCAATTCAATTCAAATTCAAAAACACTTTATTAATCATAGAGGGAAATTGATTAAGTGATGCAGTTTGCTGGGTTCCTTATATAGGAAACATTATTTCTGATTGGCTTAATGAACTGACCTGAATTGGAATGTTTATTACGTGAAGGTCCTTGAGACGACTCTTGTCGTGATTTGGCGCTTTATAAATAAACTTGAATTGAAAATGGAATTATGGGTCCAATTGTTCATATTTCATGACTCCAGCTCCTCATCCTCCTCAGCTCACAGCGTGGAGGGTCAGTGTTCCTCAGCCGATCCGATGGAGGCGCAGCATCCCGTTCAGGTGCTGCTGGAGCGGTTCCAGGTGGGACGGGGCTGTGCTGCAAGAGAGCAAGGGAACAAGGAAACACACGTCATCGCTTCAGAGAGGGTTACAGAGAGATCTGGGAACAAGGTAACCCGTCATTTTAAAAGCAGTACAGGAATAGCTGGACTCCACAGACGATTTATTTGTTGGTTTCAATCCAAAATTTGTTTTTCTGTCACCAGTTTCACAGAAAAAGCCTTCAATTATTTTGAATAATTTATTTAAAGGGAAATTTTACCCCAAAGTGAATTTTAGTCTGTTGCCATATTCCCCAGAGTTAGATAAGTGGGTGAAAAAAGTGTTGTAACCAGCTGCTAGCTTTAGCTTAGCATGAACATTGTAAGTGAATGGTAACAGCTAGCACTACTGTAAGCCACCACTGCAAGGCACAAGGACTTGACCTAGTGGTGTGACGTCTGGCGGATATAGTCATTTCCAAGTTTACAGCATTAAATCTACAACTTTTGACCCTAATAACAGTGGACGGTGAGTTTTGGGGCCCTGTGCCGTGTCCACGGGCCTTGCGGAGACAGCTTACAGCACTGCTTTGTCACGATGGCCCCAAGTCCAAACTGGCACCTGTATTTCCTCTGCGTGTCTAACTGGTTCAACTTACAGTTGGTGTGATTGCTGAGCTCACCAACAAAAAATAGGATCATGGTTGAATCATTTTCCTGACTTCCATGTGAAATGCTAGCTGTTACCATTCACTTGCATTGTTTATGCTAAGCTAAAGCAAACAAATTGCTTCCAGATTAGGAGAATGACTGGGCTGCTTGGCTGTGTGTGTGTGTGTGTGTGTGTGTGTGTGTGTGTGTGTGTGTGTGTGTGTGTGTGTGTGTGTGTGTGTGTGTGTGTGTGTGTGTGTGTGTGTGACGGTTGGTTTATGCTTGACGCGTCCGCGAGGTCCGCGCGGCTCCGCGTGGAAAAGTTGCATCATTTTAACAACCACGCCCCTCCGCCGCGCCTCCGCACGGCCCAGAATTTCCGCAACGCGCACCTCGGAAAATTTCTAACCACACGGACGGTCGGACGCGGAAAAACATGGCGGACCGGCAAGAACTAGTATGGCAGAGGTTGGTAAATACAGACATTTGTATGATTCAGCTCTCAGAGATCACCGTGATCAACATGTTGTTAATAATTCTTGGAGAGAAATAGCTCGCACTGTCGGAAAAGACGAGGACGCTGTTAAAAATGCTGGAATGCCATGTTGTAAACAGTAATTTCTACTTCTACTATGGTGTAGTGTTGGATGCATGCCGTAGAGCTCCATGCTGCCCCCTACAGTTTGGGAGAATATTGGCTCACCGCAGAGACGAGCCGCATGAACCATAAACGCTGCGAGTTGTGAAGCGCGTTCCGTCCGCGAGCCGCATCACCGCGCGGAAAGTGAATGCGTCAAGCATAAACCAAGTAGGAGAGAGAGAGAGCAGCTTGAGATCCTGGTCTTGTTCCTTTTGGACTCGTTCGCAGGGTTGACTTCATCCACCTTCAGGTGAAGGTGACGGGTCTCACCTGAAAGCCACAAACACGCATCAGCAAGGTGTCCACTTTAATGACTTTTCCTCTCTTGTCCTGTCCACAGATGACGGTGCTGCTGAGACCCTTGTCCTCATCGCTGTCCCCTCTTAGGACCGTCCACCTGGTGCTCAGCTCCAAGCTCCCAGTCAGCTGGGTACTGGAATCTGAGCAGCTTCCCCCCAGCTTCCCAGTATCAGTTCAGGTCAGAGTGGAGAGACAGCTGCAGACGTCCTTCTCAGTAGAAGCATATTTAAATTAAACCCTCTGTAGGTGTCCACAAACTCCAGTGTCCAGTCACATGATCTCATTGTACGGGTCCAGACGGTCCACTCCTTACCTTCTCATCTCCACGCTCTGCACCGTTGGGCTCTGAGGCACCATGGCAACCTGTCATCACTGATGCACACGAGGCATAGCGACCGGGTCTATGTTGGACTGGGAGAAGGTGAGGCACCAGGAACATTCCTGCCATGCGTTGTTGTTGCTTATCCAAGGTCAGGTCCAGGTGGGAAGTCCAGGCTCCTGTTTCCATGGTGACACCCCAGCTTCTTCGGGAGGATCCAAAGTTCCCACCAGCTCGTTCTGGGTCTTCCCACGTCTGGAAAACCTCCAATGGGAGGATCAGATTTGTTGGAACCGGCTCTCATCCTGGTCACTTCACATCCTCACAGCAAATCAAAGATGTTTTGAGACTAAATTCATGTTGTGAAACATCTCGTTGACGTCACAGATCCATCGCTCCCCGCTGAGTGCCGGCTGCAGCCTTTGCCCCTCTGTTCCAGAACCACACAGATCTCTGACCTGCAGACTCAGGAGGCGAAGGGCTGTGTCCGTCCTACGGAGGCTGATGCTCCTGAGATCCACGTGATCCAGCTCCGTTCAGCAGGTTCCAGGTTCTGTGGGTGAGGATCTCCAGCCTGGTGGGGTCCAGATTAAATGATCGCTCTTGTCCAGGCGTCCACACGTCCTTGTTTCATCTCCTTCAGCTCTCTGCAGGCGGAGGTGATCGTGTCCCTTGTTGCCTCGGTGGAGACTCCGGAGAACCACAAGGTTGTGTTGATTCTCGGCAGCTCGGTGCCGGTCCAGTGGGTCATTAAAGCCCGTGGTGTCCGGGGTCACCTCTCTGTTCTTGTATGGTCCACATTCCTTATTTCCAAGACACAAACTGAAGAACTTAAATTCATTTTTTTAACTGTACCAGGTGGTCCTTCTGTGTACTTTATACCTTCTGTCTTCCCAGTCCTCCAGCAGGGTGTCTCCACCGTCTCCACCCGAGCCTGGCCTAACCGTGTCCACCAGCCTCGACTCGGAGCTGTCCACACTTTCTGATCTTCTTCTCTGGGCCAGGGGGAGTGGCTACACCCAGGTGACCTCATACACCCAGGCTGACCTGGCCAATCGGTTTGCGATCCAGCTGGCAGACGACAGGACAGGTACGTCTCTCTGTCGCCGTGGTTCTTAGAGCCTGCCACCAGACGGTTAAAGGTGACCAATAATGTTTCTGACTGATGGCAAAATATCCGATTTTTTACTTCCTTCCAGCTCCTGTTCTGTTTCTTGCAGCGCTGCATACCTGGCCCCCCACCCGTCCCAGGGGTCTGAAGCTGCTGGACCCCGAGGGAACAGCAGGTCAGTGGTGGACACAGAAGTCTGGTAGCGCCTTGCTTCAACAGCGGTCCTTCAGGAGAGTAGCAGTCGGACCCTGAACTCATCTCAGAGACTCGGGTTCGGGTGTTATGGAATTATTTCTGCTCTGGTCTCAGCGTTCGTTCACACAAACACTTTCAAACATCATTTGGTGCTTTTTTCTCATGTTTGTTAAATCTGACACCGGCTTTCCCAGCACGTAAGTGGAAAATATCCTGCCGTGATCTAGGAGTTGGGAATGTTTTCAAATTTTCCAAACCAATTTTTCATATTTCTGATGGAGAGAGTGATGCCCAAACGCTCTGTTGCCGTGGTAACCGCCTCTGTGATACTGACTCCACGTGTTCGACTCTGTTGTTTCTGAGTCTCACGCTGGTGGGCCGTTTGGGTTCTACAGCTAATGGATTCAACATCTTCACAGGTCTGCAGCACCAATAAAAGGCCTTTCTATGGTTTCTACTTGTTCTCTGAGCTGAGGCTGCAGATCTTCGCTCACACTGACTGTGTCTGTGTCTTCTCCCATCAGGATCCAAGAGTCTGACTGTGAGCTGTGATGGAGGACTCCTCAGTGTGACCGTGGATCGACAAACCTTACAGGTCTAAATGCTCCCATAAGTTCTTCTTCATCTTCTTCTTCGACGGTGGCTGGTGGACTGCCCTGGTGACTGATTTCTGTAGCCATTGATGCGTCACGTTGTTGCTTGCTCTCATTGTTCTTAGCGCTGTCCAATGACCAACCATAGAATCCACCCCAGAACCGAACCCTGGCTATGAGTTGTGGCCATGGCTTCGCTCCGCCGGGGGGTGGGATGGGTGGTTCTTTTTGACCGAGCCACACCCAAACAATCCAAAAATGGGAAAAGAGGTGGAGCTGAGGGTGGGGCTGTTACGTTTGGAACAGGGTTGGAACAAATGAAACCAAAGCAGCTACTAGCTAACTTAGCTAACCCAAGAAGCTAAGACTTGAACAGGACCGCGGGGTAGCCCACCCGCACTGCCGACAGACATGCTGTTCGCCTGCTGACATCTAATATGGACTGGAACTGTTAAATTACGAGCAGAGTCCGACCGCTGCGACCGGGAGCCCTGGCCTACCAGATCAGCTCAGTCTCCACGGTCGGAGGTCAGTGGGACTTTAGCTACATGCTAACGCGAAGCCAACAGAGTTTTTCCAGGCGTTTTTAGCGAGAAAATGTGGAACAACAACTCAAACATGAAGGCACCTCCGGCCTCCTTAGTAACGAATCATAACTAGGTCAGCTGACCGAGGACATCGGGCTTCGCTGGTCCACCGCGGTGAAAGAGCCGCGAGTCCGCCGTTGCCAATGCACGTGGCTCAGGGTCTCGGCTCACGGTCGCGCTCTCGACCGGAGATGAGAACGGCGGACTCGTAGATCTTTCACGGCGGTGGACCAGCAGAGCACGATCCTCTGTCAGACACCCAGCCGCCACACCAGCACGTCATATTTCGATCAATGAGGATTTGCTCACTTCTCCTGCCAGCTCCTAGTGGATGAGGGTGGAACTGCAATTTTAGCCACTCCTTCTTGCCTTCAAAAAATGTAGACCATAACAGCTCCTTGGTGGCAGCCAGATTTTATGACATATATGGGACTGCTCGGGTTGTCAGGCACAGCGGGTCTCTACTCCAAATGTAAGTTAAAACCATCCATCCATTTTCTGTGAGTGTTTGGTTTGGGTTAGGACTCATATGGTCTTTATGAGCTGTTCAAAAAAGTCCCTTATTATGTCATCACAATAAGGAAAATGGGCACAGAACCACCACTGGTTGACGGTTAGGTAAGCATCTGCTCTTGATATGAAGATCCAATCCAAGCTTCCCACTTCATAGTGGCCAATCAGAGGGCCGGTGGGCGTGGCCGGCAGCAGCTTGTTTTCCTTAAAGTGACAGAGCCCTGAAGTGACTCAATATGGAAGGTACTGAAAATGTCTAGAACTTCATAAACATGTTTTGTTTCAACCACAGAACCGTTACTTGTTTAACCTCCTGGGACCCAAACTTGTGTTTGGTGTGATCTAAAAGAAAAACATATCTAGCTATTACGGGTTAGGAGACTGTAAATTACAAAAATTAAAATACAATAAAAGTAAAATTAAATAAAATGTTGTCATGTATCCTAAAACAAAAAACAAAAAAACAAAGACATTTTAAAATTAAAGTCAATATCAAGTGCATAAATATAGTAAAGAATACATAAAGTGGACACAGGGTCCTAGGAGGTGAGAAAGAGATATATAGTCTGTGTAAACCGCTGAAGAAGAGTCTGAAATGCTGAGTTTTGGGGAATAAAACTACGACTTACACTTACAACTCTATAAAGTGTACTAGACTATATCAGTGTTTAGTTTATTTACAGTCTGTCATCAACATTCAGAAAATTAAATGTCTGGAGACAAACTGGTGATCTGTTATCAAGCCTCATCACAGATAAAGTCTCAACCCGGAGGCAGACGTTCAGGTTTGACATGAACCCTACAGCTATGGTGTTTAATAGACTCACTGAGGTCAGCTCTTTCTTTCAGGGCTCATCTGTTGCCGCCGTGACTCTGCAGGATCACCGATGCCAGGCTCTGGCTAACGGGAGCCACTTCCTGCTGACGTTACCTGTCATTTTCTGTGGAACCGAGGCCGTCCCTGTGGACAGTCCCAGAGGGGTGCTGTACGAAAACAGGGTGAGATAAGAGACGTCAACAGGAAGTTGTTTCATTTCTTTGCTTTCCTTCATATTATCTTTTTTACTTTGCACAACTTGTGTCTTTATCATGTGGGGCGATGGTGGCACAGCAGTTAAATGCTCGCCACATAATCGGAAGGATGCAGGTTCGAGCCCCGCTCAGTTTGTTGCTGTTGTTGCGTCCTTGGGCAAGACACTTAACCCCACTTGCCTGCTGGTGAAAGTCGGAGGGACCAGTGGTGCCTCTGTCAGTGCGCCCCAGGGCAGCTGTGGCTACAATGTAGCTCATCCCCACCAGGGTGTGAGTGGGCGAATGACTGATTGTGTTGTAAAGCACCTTGGGGGGTTCCAGGACTCTAGAAGGCGCTATGTCAAATACAGGCCGTTTAACATTTACGTAAGTTTAAAAGGTTTAGTGGAGTGAAGTCTTTGGTTGGGAATAGAGCTCATGAGAAAATTATGAGACGCTTGGAAACGGACCAAAAACCTGGAAGAGTTTCCATAGCAACGGTTTGAGTTATTGAGCTGTTACGACATTTTCAAAATTAGTCAGTTACATTTTATATTTTTTAAATATAGTATAATATAATATAAATTATTGTTGTCGTGTTCCTCCGCTTATCCGGGTCCGGGTCGCGGGGGCAGCATCCCAACTAGGGAGCTCCAGACCGTCCTCTCCTCAGCCACCTCCACCAGCTCCTCCGGCAGGACCCCAAGGCGTTCCCGGACCAGATTGGAGATGTAACCTCTCCAACGTGTCCTGGGTCGACCCGGGGGCCTCCTGCCGGCAGGACATGCCCGAAACACCTCCCCGGGGAGGCGTCTAGGAGGCATCCTGACCAGATGCCCAAACCACCTCATCTGACTCCTTTCGATCTGGAGGAGCAGCGGTTCTACTCCGAGTCCCTCCCGAATGTCCGAGCTCCTCACCCTATCTCTAAGGCTGAGCCCGGCCACCCTACGGAGGAAACTCATTTCGGCCGCTTGTATCTGCGATCTCGTTCTTTCGGTCATTACCCAAAGCTCATGACCATAGGTGTGGATTGGGACGTAGATCGACCGGTAAATCGAGAGCCTGGCTTTCTGGCTCAGCTCCCTCTTCCCCACGACAGATCGGCTCAGCGTCCGCATCGCTGCAGATGCCGAACCAATCCGCCTGTCGATCTCCCGATCCCTCCTACCCTCACTCGTGAACAAGACCCCGAGATACTTAAACTCCTCCACTTGAGGTAGGACCTCTCTCCCGACCCGGAGTTGGCAAGCCACCCTTTTCCGGTCGAGATCCATGGTCTCAGATTTGGAGGTGCTGATCCTCATACCAGCTGCTTCACACCTGGCCGTGAACCTACCCAGCAAGAGCTGAAGGTCAGAGCTGGATGAAGCTAGGAGGACCACATCATCCGCAAAAAGCAGAGACGAGATTCTCCTGCCACCAAACTCGACACACTCCACACCACGGCTGCGCCTAGAAATTCTGTCCATAAAGGTAATGAACAGAACCGGTGACAAAGGGCAGCCCTGGCGGAGTCCAACCCTCACTGGGAACAGGTCCGACTTACTACCGGCTATGCGGACCAAACTCACGCTCCTCTGGTAAAGGGACTGAATGGCCCTTAACAGAAAGCCACCCACCCCATACTCCTGGAGCGTCCCCCACAGGGTGCCCCTGGGGACACGGTCATAAGCCTTCTCCAAATCCACAAAACACATGTGGATTGGTTGGGCAAACTCCCATGCCCCCTCCATCACCCTTGCAAGGGTATAGAGCTGGTCCACAGTTCCACGGCCAGGATGAAAACCACATTGCTCCTCCTCAATCTGAGATTCAACTATCGATCGGACCCTCCTCTCCAGTACCTTGGAGTAGACCTTTCCAGGGAGGCTGAGGAGTGTGATCCCCCTATAGTTGGAACACACCCTCAGGTCACCCTTCTTAAAGATGTGGACCACCACCCCGGTCTGCCACTCCACAGGAACTGCCCCCGATGACCACGCAATGTTGCAGAGACGTGTCAACCATGACAGCCCTACAACATCCATAGCCTTGAGATACCCAGGATGAATCTCAGCCGCCCCCGGGGCTCCGCCGCTGTGTAGTTGTTTGACTACCTCAGCAACTTCTGCCCCCGAGATTGGACGGTCCATCCCCAGGTCTCCCGGCTCTGGTTCCTCCTCGGAATGAGCGTAGGCTGGATTGAGGAGCTCCTCAAAGTATTCCTTCCACCATCTGACTATAGCCCCAGTTGACGTCAGCAGCTCCCCATCCCCACTGTAAACAGTGTGAGCGAGTTGCTGTCTTCCTCTCCTGAGGCGCCAGACAGTTTGCCAGAACCTCTTTGGAGCCGATCGAGTCTTTCTCTATGGCCTCACCAAACTCTTCCCACGCCCGAGATTTTGCCTCGGCAACTGCCACTGCTGCACCCCGCTTGGCTATCCGGTACCTGTCTGCTGCCTCTGGAGACCCACAGACAAGCCACGCCCTGTAGGCCTCCTTCTTCAGCCTGACGGCTCCCCGAACCTCTGGTGTCCACCAGCGGGTACGGGGGTTGCCACCACGACTGGCACCGGCCACCTTGCGACCACAGCTAGCAACAGCTGCCTCAACAATCGCAGAGAAGAGCAAGGCCCACTCTGAGTCAATGTCCCCCACTGCTCTCGGGACGCGGTCAACGCTCTGCCGGAGGTGGGAGTTGAAGACCGTCTTGACATGTTCTTCTGCCAGGCGTTCCCAGCAGACCCTCACTATGCGTTTGGGTCTGCCAGCACTACACGGCATCTTACCCTGCCATCTGATCCAACTCACCACCAGGTGGTGATCAGTTGAAGCTCCTCTCTTCACTCGGGTGTCCAGCACATTCAGCTGCTAGGTGTACCGATGGGTATCCTTATGTTCGAACATAAATTATATTAAATTATATTATATTATATTATATTATATTATATCATATCATATCATATCATATCATATTATATTATATTATATCATATCATATTCTATTATATTATATTATATTACCGTATATCATATCATATCATTTCATATTATATTATATTATATTATATTATATTATATTATATTATATCATATCATATTATATTATATTATATTATATTATATTATATTACCGTATATCATATCATATCATTTCATATTATATTATATTATATTATATTATATTATATTATATTATATTATATCATATCATATCATATTATATTATATTATATTATTATATTATATTATATTATATTATATTATATTACCGTATATCATATTATATCATTTCATATTATATTATATTATATTATATTATATTATATTATATTATATTATATTATATTATATTATATCATATCATATCATATTATATTATATTATATTATTATATTATATTATATTATATTATATTATATTATATTATATTATATTATATTATATTATATTACCGTATATCATACTATATCATTTCATATCATTTCATATTATATTATATTATATTATATTATATTATATCATATCATATCATATCATATTATATTATATTATATTATATTATATTACTGTATATCATATCATATTATATTATATTTCTAACTCTGAGTTTCAGGTTAAATCCAAAGACAGAAGGTGTAACTAGATACATTGCAGACTAATATGCTGCAGCTACTGTCTGAAATTCCATATCAGCTTTGTCACGATTTAAGGTGAAACAAAATTTCTACATTTTGATGTTTAAATTGTGTAAGAAAGAGAGTTAATATCTACAGAAATGTTAAAGCTGCTGGAAGTAGCACAAAAAGGTTACCTTGGTAACCACTAGTGGCTCAATTAAGTAGCCACAGTATCAGAAGTAAAAAATATTTTTTTTCTTTTTATCTTTTATTTCCTGATCTGAAGTTTTATCGACTTCATCGTTGGCAAACAAACTTTATTTATAAAGCGCTTTTCCTACAAAGGATGCTACACACACACACACACTGAAGAGCATCAGTAAAAACGATACTGGGCAGAGTTCAGATGAGCCGGACACGGTAGGGCAAGGAAACGCCATCAGAGGAGCCATCTGCCCCGGCAGCAGCAGCCGAGGTACCGACCCAGGGCGCGAAGGGGAGGGAGGGCATTGACCCCACCTCCACCCAAGCACGACCCGGAGAACACCCGGGCAGCAGCAGTTGACCACCGCCCCCAAGGCAGAGGGCCCCCATGGAGGAAACACTGGAAGAGAGATTCATATAAGACCACAAATAAAACTAACTGGAGCTAATATAATAGTAAATGTAAGTAAATAAATATGATTATAATAAATATTCAAATAAGATGCGGAATTAAATTGTGTGAAAATGTAATCAATAAAATATGCAAAGCCAATAATCAAACTATAATAAATTATAATCAGCTCAAAGCTATGCTAAACAGGTGGGTCTAGACCTGCGCTTAAAAACATGGACATTCCCTGTTTCCCTGAGGTCCTTCCAGAGGCGAGGGCCATAAAACTGGAAAGATGCTTCGCCGTGCGTAGGTGTCCTGACCTCCTGACCCTAGGGATGACCAGGAGAGGGCTGCCATGGGAGTGTAGAGGCTGCGAGGGTTCGCGTGGTAAAAGCAGGTCTGAGGGCCCAAGACCATTAAGACACAAAAAAACCACTTAAAGAACCTTAGGATGGATCCTGTAACGTACGGGGACGCGGCAGTGGTTCCAGGACCGGTGGAATGTGCTCCTGCCTCCTGGTCTTCGTCAGCGCGTGTAAGTTTAGTAAAAGTTGTAAACCTGAGGTTGTAATATTCCCTAAAAAAGGGGAAAACAACGAGGGAAGTGATGTAATTCGTTCTCACACCTGTGGGTCAACATCCGATGAAAACAAAGAAATTCACACCTGATTCTGCGACGTGAAGAAATGTGGTCTTAAGCTCTGGATGTGTGTTTGAGCACCGGGTTAACCGCTGTGCTGGTTTTTCCTTCTTCTTCTCAAAGTGATGGTAACAGGAAGCCACTGGTTGTGTGCTCGTTGCCCTCGTCTGACTGATGTCATCCTGACCAGAGGTCGGATGAGTTTAACCATCAAATTCTTTTTTCTGCACAGAAGCAAATTAATGGAGAGAAAATCACAGTTTAGAGGCAGAAAATTGGAGGAAATCGTTCTCTAACAAGAGACCAGGGTGGTTTTCAGAGGCTTTCACTCACCACTTTACTAGGCACACACTGTGAGCACTGGGTAGAACCATTCAGAACCATCTCCAGTCTGCTCCATCCTGACATGGCTGCTCCATCTGGGATGAGAACCTCCTGCTCCACCACGTCCCAAAGGTTCTGGACTGGAGAGATCTGGTCACTCCGTTGGAGTCCAGTAAACTCTTGGTCATGTTCTAGAAACCAGTTTCTTTGTGACCCAGAAGATGGGTTAGGGCGAGGTTGTAGCTGAGATCCAGATTCACCAGACCAGGAAAGGGTTTTCCAGTCATTCTGGTCCAGTTCCGGTGATCCGTTGGGAATGGTCGCCTCAGATTGCTGTTCTTAGCTGACAGGACGTTCATGTTTTTAAGTCCAGGCTCAGGAACCATCTTTTTAGGTTAGCTTTTATCTAAATATTTTCTACAGTTTTATTTCTCGTTTTACATGATTATACTTTACTTGCTTTGCATGTTCTATATGATTATATTTTAGCACAGTTTCATTATTTAAATTATTATTTTACTGTCTATATGATTTTATTTATTACTTATTTTCTAATTTTTGTCATTTATATTAGCTCTTTTATTATATTTTTACTCATTTTAATCCAGTCTTTCCTCTGTGGGGGCCCTCTGCCCCGGGAGCGTTGGTCGACTGTAGCTTCCTGGGCGCTCTATAGGTAGTGTTTGAGTGGAGGTGGGGGTCTATGCTCCCCCTCCACTGAGCGCCCTGACTTAGTGTGGAAGACCTGATGCTGCCGGGGCAGACGGCTCCTCTGATGGCGTTTCCTTGCGTTACCTTACTGGGCTCATCTGGGCTCAGCCAAATATAATTTTTACTTGTGTGTGTGTGTGTGTGTGTGTGTGTGTGTGTGTGTGTGTGTGTGTGTGTGTGTGTGTGTGTGTGTGTGTGTGTGTGTGTGTGTGTGTGTGTGTGTGTGTGTGATTGCATATGTCTGTTAATGTTTTTAACCTGTTATGGGAATCTGGGGTCATTTTGTAAAGCACTTTGAGTAGCACTTTGTTTGAAAAGCGCTTTAGAAATAAATTTGATTGATTGATTGAGGAGAAACACCTGGAGTGGTCTTCTGCTGCTGGAGTCCACCTGGTGAGGTCCTGCAGACCTGGGTAGGAACTAGAGCTGATCTGAGTTGCTGCTGCTCCTGTGCTCCTATCATCTAGAACCAGTCTGACCTCTGACCCTAGAGGTGGTTGTAGGTTCAAATACCAAAAGATCAGCAGGTCCTGGCACACTCAGGTGTGGTGTCACGTTTGAAGTTCCTCAAATCTCCTTTCTTCTGTGTTCTGATGCTCAGTTTGAGCTTCAGCAGGTCTGGATGTGTATGGAGTTACCGCCTCAGCTCAGTAACAAAGCATCTGGTGCTGGGAAATAAAATAGTCACATACTTAACGGATCGTTTTCTCTCTGATCAGGTTTTGCTTTGGAAAAATGAAACACAAACAACCTTCGCGCCTGGAGAACGGAACGCCGAGCCGCCGCTCAGCATCCAGGTGAGGCGTTTAGATGTTCTGTTTGTCTCTCTGAGTTACATTTGGTTTGTTCTGGGATCGTTCTGTCTTCTCCATCAGATCAGCTGCTTTGCTGCCAGCGACTCTGATGATGATGATGATGATGATGATGAGGGCGGTGTGACACTTCCTCTGATTGGACGATTCACACGAGGTGTAAAACAGGGTCCGGAACCTCTCCCAGTTCCCAGACTGGGATCTGGACCAGTGCTTCACCTGAAGCTCTTTGTGACGGACAGCTACGAGCAGACGTGGATCGGGCCGTGCGTCATCACCGCTGACCACAGGGTCTTTGTGGAGGTTTGTGTTCGCCCTGACTCGACGCTTCTCAGCTTCGTGTGTTTGGGTTTTTGTGACTCAAACATGATCTCTGGGTCTTTCTCTCCCATCCGACCTGTTCCCGAGCAGATCACAGCCAAACCCCCCCTCCCGGAAGCCGTCCACCTGGATAAATGCTTCGTGTCTCCTCTGTCTGACCCTAAAAAAACTCCTTTTTGGACGGTGATAAGAAGCAGCTGCTCCTCAGACCCGTCGCTCACCCTCGACGAGAAGGGTGAAAGTGACGCTGACGGTGAGAAAACAGAAGAAAAAGGTGGAAAACTGGAGAGCGTTCAGAAAGATCACAAAGGTTCAAAGATGAGCAACGAGACCCTGAGTTTGAAAGAAGAAGAGGCTCATTCCATCAGATTTAGCTTCATCCTGCGTCCAGTCTTTAATGACTCCATGCAGTTCCTCCACTGCAGCCTCCTCCTGTGCACCTCTGACCCGAGCAGACGGGAGTCCACCAAGGGAGCGGTGAAGGATGCCTGCCAGGCCGGGATACCAATTCCTCCACTTGTGTCCAAATCGCCCAGACCAGAGGTACAAACACGCTCTCTAAAGGGATGCTGTGCACGTTTTGAATCACTTAGAGCCAGCATGTGCTAAAATGACCCTTTACAGAGTTAATGAAATGTCACTCAGACCCCACCGCCCCAAGATACCGTGCTTGCAACTTGAGAGTGGCGGTCCACTACCCCGAACGCGGCTGATTTGTTTGATTTAGTGATGAATTGCGTCACTAATGAAGGCCAAGGAGACAGTTCAGCTGTTAGATTAAGGTGTTAACATGACAAACTCACAGCGAGGAGACAAGTTTCATTTTCGGTTTAACCACAGTGAATTAATAACGGACACTAGGGGGTGCCAAAAGCAAGCTAAACTGCACAGTATCCATTTAAAGTCCTCCTTCTGCAGCTTTTCTCTTCGCAGTCAGACAAAACCTTTAATTACATCACGCCAGTGTTTTAAACGTCATCATTTTCTGTTGAAGTGATGGTCTTACGGCCATTTTCGTCAAATCTTGAACGTGGCACAGTCTCACTCGGCCACTGAAGCAGGTGTGGATGCAGGATAATGAAGGTGTGGTCCTGTAGACGTCTGGTACGTTTACGTTTCCCAGTTAGACTTTTTTTCCTTCCGTTTTTAGAAAGTTTTTCATTTTATTTCCACTTCATTTCATTCACTGAGCCCGATCAAAGCTTTGCTACAAAAACATGTGAAACAGTTGAGTAAGTCAAGAGCTTTGCTGCCGGACCTGTTCTCTAAAATCCGCCACATCCAGTCGCTTCCGTGCCTGCTACCTTCCGTAATCTCATCGTTTACAGGGGATCGTTGTCTCCTGCCTTTTCCAGGCTCAGTGTGAGATCAGAAACCTCTCCAGACCCATGGTGGTCACCCGGCCCATAAGTGCACTTGTGCCCAAAGTGCTGCCCTCTGCTGGCCAAAGAACCAAAAGACTCAGCATCACTCCGGTGACGCGTGCAGACACAGACGACAGCGGTGAGTGTCCTCGTGGAGTCGTTCTCCTCCTCTCTGTTATGCTTACCCCTTCTGTTTTCCAGCTCTTGGCGTGCCAACGGGGCCGCTGATGGGGATCGTCTTTGCAGCTTTTATGATCGGAGTCGGTCTGATGGGAGGACTGTGGTGCATCTATAATATTACAGGTAACCAAACGTGTACGGGGGGACTGAGTGCTTCACATAGGCTGGGATTTACATTAACGTGTATCTGTCTTATCTTGATAAACGCAATTATTCATCTGGTTTGAACAAAGCAACAGCGCCAACAACTGAAGTCAGCAGATGCGGCTTGTTTTTTTTAAACATTAAGGACATTTACTAATAATTCCAGTTTAGAGAGAAACCTTTCTCACACTAAAGTCTACACCTACGTAAAGGTGTGACTCATAAACTCGTAAAGTTGCAGTAAAGGACCAGATGTCCATTAATGTTAAAGAACAGAAGAAACAAAACCATTAAACATGGAGGAACAGGAAGGATTGTGTTTTTTCACTTTGATCCTTTTTAAGGAGGACGACCAGAGAGTTATTTACCGACTCAGTCAAACGGACGCCGCAGCGCCCGGGACCCGCCCTCGCCATCCGATCAGTCCTGCAGTTCTGTTTAGAGGTGAGTTGTCGTCTTTAAGAAAGAAGTTTAGAAACGACACGGATATTTAAAGATCTACCCTACAAACCGTCAGCGTCACGTGGATGTGAAGATCGTGTCTATGTCGAGTTCGTCGGTCAATACCACGTCTGTAGGGCCTCCAAGCTAGGTCTTTGCACAATGGGAAGGAGAATCCAAAGACAATGAGCTCTTAAACGTCGAATTACAGAAAATAAAACAGCGACGCGTACAGATAATCTTGATTACGCCATGGCACGGTGCTATAAGCTTTCAGATTTTGGGGTATAGAAGCTGTTACCCTTCATTAACCATGTTTTAAGCAGAGAAGCTTTCTGGATCTACACCCGTAACGCCGTAGAACCACATGGACTTGATGATGGACTGAGCCTGTTGTGTTTCTGTAAAGGATGGTTGCATTTTCATCAGTGTTTGTTATACACTGCCATTCATCTCTGTTGTATTTATTTGCATTAACCCTCTGGAGGCAGGCGTTGCAGATGTGCAACGTTAACACCTATCTGGTTACTCCACACGTGTGTTTCATGAGCATTTCTTAACTCAGAAGAACCCCTGAAGGACTTAGTTGTTCGTCCTTTTATCCAAACTTATTTAGAGCCTGAGAGGGTTAAACTGACCCTACGTGTTGCTTATCACACGGGTGGATGTTTTACTGTCAATGATGAGCTAATTATGAATTTATTGTGTCATTTTGATTGGTAATGTATGCACTTGGCTCCTCCCCCTGCTTGTTTGACTAGTGAAGAACACGTTTTTGCTTAGTTGACCAGCCAGCACCTGTGTGTGTGTGTACAGATCTCAGACAACAGTGAACTGTAACTCTGAAGAAGACATAATCTGTCGAAACATCAGTTCTTTTATTTTGCACCTATTAAAGTTTGTGGCGTCGTGAATGTCCTGTTTACGACCTAAAGGTCATGATCTGCTGCGTCTGCTCGAGCAGAGACATAAAGTCTCTGACAGGCTAATCTACATAAGATAGCGGCCAAGGTCTTTCATGCACTCTGCTCATCTGAACTGCTTCACCTCTGTTACCAAGCGAAGACAAGAACTATTCTGATAAATACATAATCAATGACTGTTAATTACCAATAATAATGTGAGCCCAATGTTCAATCAGTCTGTGAAATGACAATGTTATTACTTGATACTATAATCCTGTGATCAGTAGTATTTTACAAGTTATTATAATCCTGGACGTTTGCACTAGACACTGATGACACGTTATGCTAAAGTCACACGACACGTTTCCTTTTGTCTGATCCAATCAGAACCTTCGTTTCTGGCTGGGCGTGGTTATCTGTGGTGTTTGTATGAACCCTCTTTTGCACGTCAAATTCTGATTCGCCAGTAAACCAAAATATGACAATTATAAAAACTATCCCACGCCACCTTTTCTTTAGTTCAAGCGTTCTAGAGAAGTCTCGGACCGGCCATCCGGACTTCCTCTTCAGCCATAAAGAACCTCGACAAGATGGATAAAATCTGTTGCAGTTACACCTGACCGCAACGGTTCCTTCAGAATAAAAGCTGAACCTCACGACCCCTTCAGGGTCTCGGAGACGCCAGTGATAACCTGTCGTGACCTGGAAGCATTCCCAGACTATTTTGGTCGGCACCGCTGCTTTTCTACCGGCTTCGGTACCAAAGAGGGTCCAAGAGAACCTCAACATTCTGGATCTAACGGAGGCTTCCCCTGGGTACGTAGACCGACAGATGGCGTTTCATGTGTGTTACAAATCTCCTACTAAAGCTTAGAGCGAAACATTCACTCCCACTCAGAACTAAATGCTTCTCCGGATCCGCTGGTTCTGAATAACATTCCACACACACACACACCATCATTCATCACGTCTCACTCCACCTTAGTCCATCAGTACACAGAGTGTTAAAGTTAGTCTTGTATAAATTATGTAGAAATAAATGTCTTAACTATTTTAAACCTGACTCCCTCTCTTTCCTTGGAGTTAATACGAAGTGTTGCTTAATCCCTGCAATAAAAAGTTCTGATCTTCTGGGTAAAATATTCCAATAATCCATCAGACTGATGTTTCAGATTTCTATGGTTCATAAGTAAGATGTAAACGACTCATTGTTTACAGTTTTGCTCCATGACATACTTTATCCTCCACATTCTAGCTGCTTTATTTATGGGGCGACGGTGGCACAGGAGTTAAGTGCTCGCCCCGTAATCGGAAGGTTGCAGGTTCGAGCCCCGCTCAGTCTGTCGCTGTCGTTGTGTCCTTGGGCAAGACACTTAACCCACGTTGCCTGCTGGTGGTGGTCGGAGGGACCGGTGGCGCCTGTGCTCGGCAGCCTCGCCTCTGTCAGTGCGCCCCAGGGCAGCTGTGGCTACATCGTAGCTCATCCCCACCAGTGTGTGAATGTGTGTGTGAATGGGTGAATGACTGATTGTGTTGTAAAGCGCCTTGGGGGGCTCCAGGACTCTAGAAGGCGCTATATCAAATACAGGCCATTTTTTTTATTTCTTCAGGGACCAAAAACACACATTGTGTTAATTCAGACAGAGACAGGTAGATAGTTGATGAAAATGAATTTATTTCTATTTCCATTAACTAATCATGATGTGTGGAGTGCTGCAATGGAAGCTAGATGTCTTAGCTGAACCTTTCCTAAGTATCTGAGAGAGTTTGTGGAGTCTGGCTTGTAAAAGAATGTGTCTGTTTGTTGGTAAACTACAGATTTGTTTGTAAAAACCATCCGACGCCTCTCCTCCACTCATTTTCAATGAGACAAAGCGATAATCGCGGGTCTCCCTCCTACTAAGCAAAACGCGAAAAACGTGCGTGAAATTTTGCGCTTGTGCACGTGTCGTGCACAGGCGACCCGGCGACGCGATCCCAGAAAGTTGAAATATTTTCAACTTTTCATCGCTGTCGCTCGGACGAGGACCAATCAACGGAGGTTTCATTCACTGACCAATGAGCGGGCAGGATGCTCCGTACATCTCCGAGCAAACATGGAGGGGAAGTTGATACCTGCCGTGACGGATTTCCCAGAACTGTACAATGTTTCTACCAAAGAATGAAGAGATATTCACAAAAAGGCCGCGGCGTGGGAAATTGTTGGTGCCAGAATGAACACATCAGGCAACAAATGCAAAACGTTTTTGTAAGTTTATCTAGTTCACCTTGTGAAACATCATATCTACCGCGTTTTTAACTCTGAACCACTTAAATAACCTTAATTCCCTCCAACCTGGCACAGCCAATCAAAACAACGGAAGATTCGATTTCGCCATGGAACCGAACGTGTCGACGACTGTGCCGCTGCCGCAGGCCGCCTCCCGTGTGTCAGGTAATAAAAGCAACAACGACGAATTTCGCTGATCGTGGTCGTTTGTTACCTCCCGTGTGTCGAGCCCGTATGGTTGTTGTTGGCTCTTAAGCCTGAGTCATGCTTCTGCGGCAGCGCGGAGACACGCAACGCCATTATCCCTCCTTGCGGGCCTGCTGGAGAGCCCTCACAGGGACGGATGGAGTCTAGCTCTCTTTTCTAAACATCCGTCCGTCAAGACAAAGAACGCAGGCTTGTGATTGGTCAGGGCACCGCTGTCATCTACATCGCCGCCATTGCGCCCTCAAAAACATAGCAACAAGAGATCCGAGAAAAACAAGCGGCAGACCTGGAGAAGCCTGAAGAATACCTCGCGAAAAAACTCTAAAAACATGAACGCTTCATTCCCCCGTGACTGGAGGAGTGGAAAGATAAGCAGCAAGCGTTTTATTTGTGGACGGAAATGACAGGAAACGTGGGTTTAGAGGTGGCGAGTGCATGAAGATATGGAGGAGGATGAGAGACAAATTTGTCTGTTAAAAAGTCTCTTATATACAAAAAACACACAGGCTGTTTCTCAATGCCAAGGAGCCTCGCCTTGATGTCTTGGCCCCGCCCCGGTTGCCTAGGAGATACATCATCGGGAGCCGCCAAGACGTGTTCCAATGTTCATGTTCTACCGAGGCGTGTGTTCTCCGTTTGTTAGCCGTTTAGCTAGCTGAGCAAGGACACACGGGAGGTGTTTTGTAGCCTAGCCTTGGTCAAAAACTGCCCAGAATACACCGCTGTATTTTCAAAAAGACGGCGGATCAGAAGACGGCAGCTACTTCGGGACAAATTTCAAGTTTAAAAGTACGTCAGCTAATTTAAAATGTTTTTTAGATCCAAAGAAGTTATCTATGGTTGGTTAGTTGCTTAGTAGTTGCAGCTTCGGTGGCTAGCGGGTAGTAACTCACTTATATTTTTTATTTAATAAACATATACACAATTTAAAAAGGAAAAGGCTCGTTATATAGTATTTATGTTGAAACTAATACTTATAAAATATAACGTTATCTCCCGTGTCACGTGACTTTACGTGACCGCTATGGGAGCCTCGGTCACGTGATGCAAGTCTGTTCCATTTAACCGTTTTCTTTGACCAACGAAGGACAGCGTCCTCGTAAGCAAGGTGCCTTGCCTCGCAAGGCATCGCCTCGCAAGGCAAGGCACCTTGACATTGATAAACACCCTCTATCTTGGACCAGATACATGACAGGATACCACAGAACAGCGCAACACCCTCCGGTGTCCTTTGCAACACTCCCCAGGAGATGGAGAAGTATGAGGGCAAAATGTCTCCGTCCGTGTGTGTCCGTCCCTTTTGGAGCTGACGGAGAAGCATAAATTAGGCTTTAGAAGAGCCAAAGGGATTTTGACCTGAGGTCAAAAGATAGGGTGGTCTCAAAACAGCTGTTCCCGAAGTGGCCGGTTCGAGAGTCCGCGAGAAACTGAATTAATCGGGAAGTAATTCCTGTTTTAATAAAACCACAATGCTGATCCATTTGGCAAATCAGAATTTGACGCATTTGAGGGCTTTATCAAAACATCTCAGACGTCCCGCCTTCCTTCAGATACAAAGATGGCTAACCTTTTGTGAGAACGTTTTATGAATGTTTTAAAACACTTATGTGAAGTGAATATGA